TGGGCCCCGAGGGTTCGCCCAGCTCTTCGGCCGGCCGGCGGGTGGGCGACGGTCTCGGGCGTCCAAATGCTGGGCCGGGGGCTGCGGCGGGTGCGGCCGAGTGGGTCAGGAGCTCGCGGAGCCCGAGAGAAGCCGGAGCGCGAGTGGCCGCCGCCGCCTCCCGAGCCGCGGGGCCGAATTAGTGGCGGGAAGGGCCGAGGCTCTTGGGGCGCCCCCGCCAGTGGGCTGTCGGTGCGTGGGCTTCTGTTCCGTCACCGCGGACGCCTCCCCCTCCCCCGCGGACCCGCCTGGCTGATGAAATGCTCAGCACCAGCCCCCGGTCCTCTCCTTCCCAGATCGGGGAGAAGGGGAGTGAGATGGGTGGGGAGAAGAGAAAGCCAGGTGGGAAAAAGCAGTCCTTCGGGACCCCTACCACCTGGGTAGGGCGAGCTCCCACGGCAGGGGCATTGCCCGGTGCGGATGGTGCGGTGGGCATCTCTCTTTAGGGGAAAGAAGGAGTGGGCGGGTGGGCTTGTGGCCATCTGCCCCCCTGGCTCATCTACCAAGCAGTCTTGCTTCCAAATGGGAGCCCTAAGGAAAGGGTCTTTGCTTTGCAGACCAAAGGCGTCTTTTCCACGTTCTGGCAACTGCTGCACTTTCTCCGGAGGGGTCGTTCCTCCGCAAAACATGAAATCCTGCCGCAGAATCCAGCAATCTCTCTCTCCATCCCTACACCACGAGGTGGAATATCAAGTCTGCGGACTTTCTGTGCACAGGGTACTGCCTCTTGGCTTTCACTCAAGATACTATCCATAGTCTTGGTGACTCTTTTTTTTTTTTTTTTTAATTGTTGTTGACAACGTGTGGTTATTTAAATGTTCTCAGGCCAGGTGCCCCAGACTTGAGTGGATTGGAATCTGTCCCATTTTCACTCAGCACCAATCGCATGGGCCAACATCCCGGGCTTCCCGCCCTCTTGGGACTTCCCAACATTTTCCTTTCTTTGGTCTCTACGTTTCTCAGATTACAAATGTGGGAACAAATATAATTCAGGTATGCCTTACTGCAACTGAAAGTACTATATGGGTCTCTTCAAATCACCATCGTCCAAAATGCCGAGAAAAGGCCCATGAGAAGACTCTGAAACGGCTCAGCCTCTCAGGGCCACTGTTTTCTCATTTGTGAAAGGAGGAGGCTGGATTCCAAACTCTCTAAGGCTCTTCCAGCTCCAAATTCATATAGTTCTATGACTTTCGTAAGGTAACAGATGATTTCAGTTAGACGCCAATTAAATTAAATGGGTGTTACTGGTGTAGAAACATACAGAGTGAAGACAGGTTTTAACATCTTCCTGTGAATTGGAATCTACTCCATGACAACCTTTTTTTTTTTTAAATGTTGTTACATTTTCCAGTGAGCTAATGAGGAATTTAGCCAACATTAAGGTAGCAGAGTCCTTGGGTGGTACAGATAGTTAACATGCTTAGCTGCTAACCAAAAGGTTGGAAATTTGAGTCCACCCAACGATGCCTTGGAGGAAAGATATGGTGGTCTACTTCTGAAAAATCAGCCTTACACACATGCGGTCACCATGAGTCAGAACTGACTTGAAAGCCCAGAGAGAAGTCTGATATTTCATCCACTTAGGGCAACATCTGTAACTCCCAGATTCGTTGCTAATATGCTTGGTGAAATGAGAAAGACATTTGAATTTGGTATCTGACAAATAGAAAGCTTTCTGTATTTTCATATTTGCATGTGGACAAAGGACACTATCTGTAAACCTGCCATTTTTCCAGGAGAAGAAATCCTTGTGCATTCCACTTTCTATTCCCTGCCCATTTATTGTGGTCATCTTCAGCTCCAGCTTTCCCTGTTTAAAGTTATCAGCAATATGAATTAAGGATGCCTATACTTTTAAGTGGTGGGCATCCATTTCTTCCCTACACAAGAAGTTGTTTGTACAACTCTTGAGGAGTCTTTATAAAATAAAAGCAAAACAATAGATACTTCACGTATAGAAAATAGCAAGTAAAATCAATTTCCAACACCATGCTCAGTAAATTCACCAGAATGTTTAGGTTGAATCACCATAAAATCAACAAGCATGAACTTGAACCGTGGCATTTTAAGTGATCAAACCCCTGTGGGCAAACGATATGACCAAATCAAAAGCACCAAGCCTTTTTTTTTCACACAAATGTCTACACACCCTTCAAATCTTGAATCAAATATTTCCTCCTCCAAGGAGGTTTCTGTGTCTCTTCCAGGCAGATTTACAAGTTCATTTTCTATTGCTTTTGCCTTTGAGTAGTGAGCATGTTGTATTTTATTTCCATGTTTCCCTACCAGACTGTTAGCCCTTTGAAAGCAACGGTCATGTCTTTTCTTCTTCTTTTTTTTTTAATTGTACTTTAGATGAAGGTTTATAGAACAAACTAGCTTCTCATTAAACAATTTGTATACATTGTTATCGTGACATTCATTACTAACCCCACAACACGTCAACACTCTCCCCTTCTCGACCTTGGGTTCCCTGTTACCAGCTTTCCTGTCCCCTGCCTTTTAGTCCTTGCCCCTAGGCTGGTGTGCCCCTTTGGTCTCGGTTTGTTTTATGGGCCTGTCTAATCTTTGGCTGAAGAGTGAACCTCAGGAGTGACTTCAGTACTGAGCTAAAAGGGTGTCTGGGGGCCATTCTCTTGGGGTTTTTCCAGTCTCTGTCAGGCCAGTAAATCTGGTCTTTTTTTGCGAGTTAGAATTTTGTTCTACATTTTTCTCCAGCTCTGTCCGGGACCCTCTATTGTGATCCCGGTCAGAGCAGTCAGTGGTGGTAGCCGGGCATCACCTAGTTGTGCTGGACGCAGTCTGGTGGAGGCCGTGGTAGTTGTGTTGTGGTCCATTAGTTCTTTGGACTAATCTTTCCCTTGTGTCTTTGGTTTTCTTCATTCTCCCTTGCTCCAGATAGGGTGAGACCAGTGGATGATCTTAGATAATCACTCACGAGTTTTTAAGACCCCAGATGCTACTTACCCAAGTAGAATATAGAACATTTTCTTTATAATCTACATTATGCCAGTTGAGCTAGATGTTCCCGAGGCCATGGTCCCCACAGCCCTCAGCCTAGTAATTCAGTCCCTCAGGGAGTTTGGATGTGTCTATGGAGCTTCCATGACCTTGTCTTGGAGAAGTTGTGCTGGCTTCCCCAGTATTGTGTACAGTTTTACCCTTCACCAAAGTTACCAATTACCAGTTGTCTATTTAGTGTTTTTACATCCCCACCCCTTCCCTCCCTCATAACCATCAAAGATTGTTTCTTTTTGTGTGTAAACCTTTTCATGAGTTTTTATAGTAGTGGTCTCATACAATATTTGTCCTTTTATGACTGACTTATTTAACTCAGCATAATGCCCTCCAGATTCATCCACGTTGTGAGAGGCTTCGCAGATGCATCATTGTTCTTTATCATTGCATAGTACTCTAAGGGGTCATGTCTTTTCATTTTGTATCCCAGGTTATACCTGACACATTGCAAAGGCTCAATAGACATTTGATACTTTTCTAAAGCTAGTACTTATTGGACGCTTACTATGTGCTAGGCACAGTGTCAGACATTTTGCAGGCATTATCTCATTGAATCCTCACAACAAATCTGTTATCTTCACTGTACATATACATATATTTGAGCAAAATGAGGCCCAGAGAGATTAAAAATTTGACCATGGTCACATTGCTGGTGGCAGAGTTGAAATTTAAACTCAGTTGTTTCTGCCTTCAAGGTCAGTGAGCTTAATGACTATACTTTTACTGCCCTCAAACTGGATAATCAAGGGGACAGTAGTAATTTTTCACAATTTAGTTTCTGATTAATAGTAACCACTGTTCCTAATTGTTTACTCACAAATGTAAACGTGGGGTGGAGTTTATGGCTCTGCTGCTACTATTAATAATAATATTAATAACAGTTAATGATTATTATTAACATCATTTTATTTTTATATGTAACTTTATAATTTTTCAAAGCACTTTCATATGTATTATCTTACTTGATTCTAAATACAACCCAGTGAGATAGGCTGAACATATTATTTTTAATTTACAGATGAAGAAACTTAGGCTCAGAATGATCAACTGACTTGCCCAAAGTCACCCTGTAAAGTGACAAGGCTCCAGTTAGAACCCAAGGCCTCTGATCATATTCCAGGGTGATTTCAGCTACTTTATGCTGTACGGTTGGGATTTAAGTAGTTTTTAATTATGCTTCTTGTGTGGGTTTCAGGAGTGAAACTTATGTGACTTGATGTCAAGGTAAGACTCGTTGACCAAATCAGACTCATGCCTTGAACTAGGAATTTATGAAGCCCCTGTTCTGGATTGAAGTGTGTCCCCCAAAAATGTGTGTCAACTTAGCTAGTCCATGATTCCCAGTATTGTGTAATTGTCTACCATTTTTAACTATGTGGTGTAAATCCTACCTCTATGATGTTAATGAGGCAGGATTAGAGGCTGTTATGTTAATGAGGCAGGACTCAGTCTATAAGATTAGGTTGTATCTTGAGTCAATCTCTTTTGAGGCATAAAAGATAGAAGGGAGCAGAGAGAGGGGAGGACCTCATTACCACCAAGCAAGAAGAGCTGGAAGCGCACATCCTTTGGACCTGGGGTTCCTGTGCTGAGAAGCTTCTAGACCAGGGGAAGACTGATGACAAGGACCTTCCACCGGAGCCTACAGAAAGTGAAAGACTCCCTGGAGCTGGCACCCTGAATTTGGACTTCTAGCTGCCTAGACTGTGAGAGAATAAATCGCTGTTTGTTAAAGCCATCCACTTGTGGTATTTCTGTTATAGCAGCACTGGATAACTAAAATAGAATTTGGTACCAGGAGTGGGGTGCTCCTCCTACAGATACCTAAAATGCGGAAGCAGTTTTGAAACTTAATGGATGGAGGCTGGAAGAGTTTTAAAGTGCCTAATAGTAAAAGCCTAGATTGCTTTGAAGAGACTGTTGGTGGAATTATGGATGTGCAAGACAATTCTGGTGAGGACTCAGAAGGAAGTGAGGAAAGCTGTTACACTGGAGACAGTGCAGACAGCAAGAAGCAGCAGCAGAGAAATGACAGCAGCAGAGAAAGGGCAGCAGCAGAACCAGGAGACCAGTTTGAGAGAGTGCTGGAGCCCACCCACTGAGCAAGAGAGCTAAATGCCTTTGTGCAGGAGGCTTCCTGACAGATTGGTGTGCCTCTGGGCACTTATCGGTGGAGCTACGGAGCTTTGGAACACTTGCTCCCGCAGGGCAGATGAGGGTGGAGAGGCCAAGGAACCAGGAAGCAGAAGCTGAGGAGACAAGGAACACAGGAAGCAGAGCTGCCTCAGTCTTAAAGGGTAGGGCCACGGACCTCTGGGGTTTCAAAGTGTGGCGCTATGGCCTCTGAGGCTTCAAAAGATGGAGCCACAGCCTCCAGGGTTTCAAAGAGTCAGATCTTCACCAACTCAGTTCTGGAGTGTGTGGCTGCCTTTCATGAGTGCCGGCGGAATGGGGCCGGATC